TGTTATAGCTGAGATAGTGATCACATGATTGGGAACCACGGTGGTTCCTGATGCCCAGGCAGCTGTCAGTGACAGTGCAGGCACAGAAGGAACAGAAGTGTATACTGTTCATTACAAAACAGAACATAGATTAATGTTTCCTCTGTGCAAAGCATTCTGCAAAAGAACATAGATCTGCATATTGCAGATGGGAAGGGGTTAAACTGTTATAAATCCCTCATTGTAGTAAAGGCCATGCTTTCAAAACCAGCTGGCTAACAACTATATTATACTCCACTAGCAGGAATTATTATGGCAATCTTTTTGTCCTTGATCATTTCCAATAATTATTTTGACATTCAATCTGTTTTTATGATTTTTTTTGGTTGCATTGTAAAATAATGACACCAAATTACATCTGTTCATGAACACAAAAAATATATTTGATTTTAACCACTGTCTTTATCTTTCTAAGGCAGATGTTGTAAAATGTAAGAAACAAGAAAAGCAACTTCTAAAATGGTACATTTCAGCTAATAAAAACCCACAAAAACATCCATCATATGTTTTTTTTTCTTATGTTGTCACTGGAAAAATACAGTGCAGAGGAGTTTAATGAGCTGTTCAAAACAGCTTAAAGGAGAAATAAGAATAAATGTATGTTCAGTATGGGAAAGTTAAGAAAGCTGTCCCTCAAGGCCTCATTAATGACAAGGGCCCGCCCCCTGCAGAGAATAATATACAAATAAGCCGCAAAAGAACAAACTGACAAGGGTTTAACGAACAAAAAGTGAAAGGGCAACATTAATGCAGGAGACTCAGTAGCTTGTTAAATATAGAACTTGATATGCATTGTCTAAAGGAGAGTGGGTACAATGACAAGTTTGGAATTTTATAAAAATGTGCTTATTAGGATTATGCTACTTCAATGTGGGTAAATGTAAGATTGCATAGGAATATCAATTGACTTTTTAAAGAGAAATTTAGTGGATACATCTGATGACCCTCTTCTAAAAATAATATGTGCCTGGTTGTTATGTTATTCAGATTATAAATGAGTAAATGTCTGGTTTGATCAGTTGGAATGTAATTTAAAAGTATTAAACATTGACTCTTTTTAATCCTTATGCTGCTAGCATTAGTAAATAGATAAGAAAGTATATCATATTTACTTGTTTTAATTTTGTTTTTACATTTCTTTAGTTACTTCCCAGTTTCCAGGCCTAGGCAAATGATCTCATACATCTCAGGAGTCTTCAGGAGAGGTCGAAGGATTTTCTCAGCTAAGCCCACCCTCCTGCCTGCATGCCTGAGCTAAGGGTAAATGGATTTCAAGAAGTAAATGCTACATGAATCATCTGCCCTTACTCAAGATGGTCACGACCATAATTGCTAGAGCGTGTATTTCAAAGTGATTTCTCAGCAAAATAAAGCATGGGCCATAGATTGATGGATGAATGGGTGAGTATGCTTTGATTATTAAAAATGAATATTTAAGATTTTTGGTTTGTGATGCTCAGATGCAGTCGCTTTAACATATCAAGCACAATAAAATAAACATTCCCAGTATTTTTTAAAATTTTTACCTCAAAACTTGCAGTTTACATCATTCAATGCTACTGGCTCAGTGCTGCTTCCCTGCACTTTTAGTCTTCACAGGAAAGAGTTAACAGTGGATAGTGCAGTCTCTAAGTCAGTGTTTTAGCTTGGAGAAGGGGAGGAAGAGGAGGAGGAGGAATGAGAAGAGGAGTGGCTTGTCATCGTAGGCTAAAGGGCTGTGTGTTTCTACTGATGCACACAACATAAGAAAGCACAACTCTATTACCTGCATGCAAAGATGACTCCATAGGACAAGTTTACTCTCTGTTGTAGTGCTTCTTGTGAAGGAGCCACTTGGTAATTTGGGTTCTCTGTTCTCCCCTTCGACTTCAAGAACAGCCTCAGCCCCTCTGACACAACTGGTTTAGTGAACGTCACTGCAAGCACTTATAGGAACACAAGTGTGTTAACTTAGTTATGAATTAGCACCAGGAAACAGACATAAGACTGTTTAGTGGTAAATTAACTCAATGTATTGGTACAGGTTAGAATAAATGGTGGTTTGAACATAAATAAACACATACAATGTAGGTTCCAACACAGTCTGCTAGACAGTATTATCACTATGTCAAGATAAAATAGAAAATAATTCTGTACCACTAGACTGGGATTAACTCATGAATCAGTGTAGTCAGCAATATCCTAACTATTCAGCCGGTTGGCAACGGGGCCCATTTGTACTGTTGGTGCAAAACAGTAGAATAGAGACTGAGATTGAGACTAGTCCCAGTTATGCCTGAAGGAAGAAATAAGGCTGCATGGTCAGTTCCTAGAGGGCTTAGTCTCTATCAACAAATAGTAAATCTCTACAGCAGCAGCAGCAGCAGCTCACCAGTCCCAGTGATATTGCAGCTCACCATCCGGTCAAACACAGTGATTAGTCCACTCTCTGCTCTGTTCCCAGGTGACCCTGGCTATCTGCAACTCGAACTCAGCACTCCTGATCCTGCTCAGGCTGCTGTTATGCAGCAGTGGTGCTGCACACTGAACAGTGATGCTGTGTCCTATACAAACTGGGGAAATACAATTCTTTCCCTTCCTTCTTCTGCAGGATCTGATGGGGTCTGTAGGGAGGGGGAGCAAGTGGGGGATCACACACAGTACTGCCCTGAAGTTGAGCAGCAGGGAAGCTCAGGGCAAGAGGCAAGTGCTGTGCACACAGCCTATTTATGCAGATCTCAGCAGCAGGGGGGGGACCAGGGGACTGACACAACCAACAAGGCACCCGGCTACACTGACTACCTGTATTTCCCAACCACTAAATCAATCCCAGTACTCAAAAGGTCATTACAGAGGCCAGATCAAAAAAGACCTCACATTTGACAAACATGCTATTATAGCACAGCAGGGTAGTGTCAGCCTGACCCACGCAAAGGAATTCTTTGAAATAATGCATGGCCCCTCATACTCCATAAATCTTCCTGATGACCCATTCCAAAAATGTGCAGAATGTTGCAAAATATACCCTAAGAATAAGCCTTAGGCAGGCACCTATCCACAATAAAACATTCCATTATAGCAACACCGCAACAGATATTAAATTTCTGGATATACTGCCAGAAGGCAGAAAACAAATTCAATGTCATCCTTAGCCATCAACATAGCAGGTCCTGCCTTCCTCACCATGGCGGCAGTTTCATCAAAAGCAACACAGGTCACCCTAGTCAAACTCTCATCAATTCCATCATTGACGAAGGTGCTCCTCAGGTATGAAAGATAAAGAATAGGGAAGAACTTGCCCGTCTCCTTCTTGTGTACCACCCCTAAAAAACAATCAGAGATCAGGATTTGAGGGATACTCAAATAGTCCCCCCTTTCTGCTCAAGTCTGACAGTTTGCCATGCAGTCCCTGTGGATACTGCCTTACCGAAATAAAATTCTTCTTCCCAACTGCTTTACTAACAGACAAACTGAAAACCATTGAAATTTCCCCCTGTAGCAAAGCTTCTCCTTCCCAATTGCAGACATTGTTGACCTGTGGTCAGGTGCATTGCTTTGGTCAATGATGTCTCTCACAATGCACTGTGAAAGCGCAGTGCATTGTGGGGCGGCCAGTCCGCCGAACGCCCATACTGTTCGTGTGTTCAGCAAACACATAAACGGATGATGTTCGAGTCAAACTTACGTTCGACTCAAACATCAAGCCCAAGTCAACAACTAAATGAAAGGGCTCTACAGTAGTACTATGAGCCGGCTGCCCCTTCTGTCTTGCCATGAACTGCTTCCAGAGTGCTACAGTGATCCCCTGCATATTTTGAATGTTTGTCCACTTACAAAGAAATTATCAGTCTAAAAATCGAATGGTAGGTGTATTGTAACACTGAGAGACAGAATAGCAACAAAAATAATAAAACAATGCATGTCTAACAAATTATGCACTGATTTGCATGTTCATGATGGAAATAAAGATTTGATCTCCTTCACAAAACATGACTTAGTACTTGGTGGCAAATACCTTGCTGGCAATCACAGAGGTCAGACGTTTCCTGTAGTTGGCCACCATGTTTGCACACATCTCAAGAGGGATTTTGGCCCACTCCTCTTGGCAGATCCTCTCCAAGTCATTAAGGTTCAGTGGATGATGTTTGGCTACTCGAACATTCAGCTCCCTCCACAGATTTTCAATCAGATTAAGGTCTGGAGACTGGCTAGGCCACTCCAGGACCTTAATGTGCATCTTCTTGAGCCACTCCTTTGTTGCCTTGGCAGAAAGTTTTGGGTCATTGTCATGCTGGAACACCCATCCACGACCCACTTTCAATGCCCTGGCTGAGGGAAGAAGGTTATCACCCAAGATTTGACGGTACATTGCCCTGTCCATCGTCTCTTTGATGCGGTGCAGTTTTCCTGTCCCTTTAACAGAAAAATACCCTCGAAGCAGAATGTTTCCACCACCATGTTTGACAGTTGGGATTGTGTTCTTGGGGTCATAGGTAACATTTGTCGTCCACCAAACACGGCGAGCTGAGTTGATGCCAAAGAGCTCGATTTTGGTCTTATCTGACCACAACACTTTCAACCAGTCCTCCTCTGCATCATTCAGATGTTCAGTAGCGAACTTCAGATGGGCCTGGACATGTGCTTTCTTGAGTAGAGGGACCTTGCGGGCACTGCAGAATTTCAATCCTTGTAGTGTGTTACCAGTTGCTTTCTTGGTGACTGTGGTCCCAGCTGCCTAGAGATCATTGACAAGATTCTCACGTGTAGTTATGGCAGCATTTCTCAACCTGTGGGTTGCAACCCCTTTGGGGGTCGAAACAACCCTTTCACAGGGGTTGCCGAAGACCATCAGAAAACACATATTTCCGATGGTCTTAGGAACCGAGACACCACTCCTCTATCTATCTCCAGGCAGGTCCGTGGGTCCGGTGTCTTCATTTCCCTTGACCACAATGTGCGGTGGGATGACATGCTGCCCCTGTCATCTGGCCACACCCCCGGGATCACTCAACAGCTCTGCCTCCTCACCAGTGATTGGCCGCCGGAACTGTAGCTCAGGAGAGGCACACAGGCGGCGAATCACTGGCGAGGAGGTGGAGCTTGGAGAGGAGGAGCCGAGCGACAGCGCGAAGATCAAAGAAGATCGAGTGAGGGAGCTGCCGGAGCGAGTGAAGGGGAGGAGAGCTGCCGGAGAAGGAAGACAGATGATCGGTAAGTGTCTTTACCGTGCAGATGGTGCTGCTGCACCAAGGTATGCTGGCTGTAGATGGGAGAGGGAGGGAGCGAGCCCAGGCTGGAGCAGGGGTCAGCAAGGTAAGTATCATTGGTGTCAGTGGGAGGAATAGTGCCCCATCATTGGTGTCACTAATACCAATGATGGGGCACTATTCCTCCCACTGACACCAACGATGGGGCACTATTCCCCCCCCCACTGACACCATTGATGGGGAACTATTCCTCCCCCCACTGACACCAATGATGGGGCACTATACCTCCCCACTGACACCAATGATGGGGCACTTCCCTCCCCCCCACTGACACTAATGATTGGGCACTATTCCCCCCCACACACTGACATCAATGATGGGGAACTATCCCCCCCCACTGACACCAATAATGGGGCACTAGTCCTCCCACACTGACACCAATGATGGGGCACTATTCCTCCCACTGACACCAATGATGTGGCACTATTCCTCCCACTGATACCAATGATGGGACACTATTCCTCGCACTGATGCCAACGATGGGACACTATTCCTCCCATGAGGCACTATTTGATATGAGGCACTATTTATTCCACTGACACCAACGTGGGGCACAATTCTTGCCACTGACAGTAATGATGGGGCACTATTCCTCCCACTGACATAAACAGTAGGGCACTATTCCTCCCGCTAATACCAATAATGAGGCACTAGTCCTCAAACTAGTACCAGTAAAGGGCCACTATTCCTCTGATAATACCAATGATTGGGCACTATTCCTTCCACTGATACCAATAATGGGGCACTATTTGTCCCACTAATACTAATGAGGGGGCACTATTCCTCCCACTGACATCAGTGATGTGGCACTACTCCTCCCATTGACACCAATGATGTGGCACTACTCCTCCCACTGACACCAACGATGGGACACTATTCCTCCCACTAACACCAATCCAATGATGGGCACTATTCCTCCCACACTGACACTAATGATGGGGCACCATCATTGGTGTCAGTGGGAGGAATAGTACCCCATCATTAGTGCCAGTGTGGGGAGGAATAGTGCCCCATCATTGTTAGTGTGGAAGTAATAGTAACCTGCATATCCTGCAAATTAGATATTTACATTGCGATTCATAATAGTAACAAAATACAGTTATAAAGTAGCAACGAAAATAATTTTATCGTTGGGGGTCACCACAGCATGAAGAACTGTATTAAAGGGTCGTGGCATTAGGAAGGTTGAGAACCACTAAGTTATGGAATGATTGCTCACCGTTTTCATGATCATTGACACTTCACGAGGTGAGATCTTGCATGGTACACCAGACCTAGGGAGATTGACAGTCGTTTTGTGTTTCTTCTATTTGTGAATGATTGCACCAACTGTTGTCACCTTCTCACCAAGCTGCTTGACGATAGTTTGGTAGCCCAGTCCAGCCTTGTGTAGGTCTACAATCTTGTCCCTGACATCCTTGGACAGCTCTTTGGTCTTTGCCATGGTGGAGAGTTTGGAATCTGATTGTTTGATTGCTCCTGTGGACAGGTGTCTTTTATACAGGTAACAAAATGAGATTAGCAGCACTCCCTTTAAGAGACTGCTTCTAATCTCAGCTTGTTACCTGTCTGAAAGACACCTGGTAGCCAGAACTCCTGCTGAATGGTAGGGGATCAAATACTTATTTCTCTCATGAACATGGAAATCTGTGCATAATTTGTTAGACATGCATTTCTTTTGAATGTTTTGTTGCTATTCTGTCTCTCAGTGTTACAATACACCTACCATTCAATTTTTAGACTGACCATTTCTTTGTGAGTGGGCAAACATTCAAAATCAGCAGGGGATCAAATACTTATTTCCTTCACTGTATGTCCTTATGTTCCCAAGCCAAACTGGGCTGCACGGACATCTTTGTCAAAATTGATCATCATATCAGAGCCATGCCATGCTTCCGTACCTATGGCAATCTCCCATGAATGACTACTACTATCTAATGTAATAGAAGCTTGTACCTAATGGGTCACCATCCTAGGAATCAACCCGAAGTGCCTCTGTTCATTGTTTTCCTATGCTCCTACTCCTCCTCACATTTCTCAGCTGGGAAATTTTTCAGTGGCAGCAGAGTGAAAATATCAATTTATTGTCTGTGACATAACTTCTTCTTCACTCCTGCCTTGCAACAGTCCCCCAAGGACCCTTCAATTCAAATGCATTATTCTTAGCCAGGTCAGAAATGGACAAGCTCTTTCTTTTATCCTTTTCACCCCCTTTGTCCCCCGACACATAAAAACATAGTCTTCCCCCTTTTTTTTTTGCATTCCCACCCACCATCCTAATGATGCTTCATTTGGCCCCTGCCTCTGCAAGCTCTGACAATGACAGCATTGCCAAGTCTTCCCACTCCACTTAAGCTAACTTAAGCTGTTGTGACTCACCAAGCTAAGTCCAAGCACAGTGGCTAAATGGGTAGCTCTTCTGCTTGGCAGTACTAGGGTCACTGGTTCAAATCCCAACCATGGTACCACCTGCCTGGAGTTTACATGTTCTCCCTGTGACTCCATGGGTTTCCTCCAGGTACTCTGGTTTCCTCCCATGCTCCAAAGACATGCTGGTAGGTTAATTGGCCCTAGTATGAATATGAGTTAGGGACCTTAGATTGTACACCCCTTGAGGGTCAGGAACAGATGTGAATGTACAATATAAATGTAAAGCACTGCATAAATTGACAGTGCTATATAAGTACCTGAAATAAAAAATAATAACTGGGGCTCTGGATTGAATTGAGATCCTTCACCCATAACCCCCATTGTCCACAGTACTGGATGTCACTCTAAGGAAGGCACTAGGCTTGACGGGCCTCACTGTATATCTTGAGTGCCCAGCAACTCCTGCATCCTAGGAGGAGAAAGGCCTTCCAAGGCATACTGACTTGAGCAGTCCCTGCACCCTCCCAAATACAGCCTAAAACAGCACTTGCACAGGAATGAAGTCCATTTCGACACTCAGATAAACATCCACACTAAATCAGATTCTACTTTGGCTGCTTCTCCCCTATCTGGCTGTATTTGTGATACAAAAAATTGTATGGCCCATAATTTTCTTCAATTAAACTGTGACAAGACTGAAGTTATGCTTATTGGCACCCCCCATCAATTGTGTAAGGCCAGTCCTCGTAGCCTATCGATGGCACTGTACTTGAGTTTCAGTCTAAAATTGCAAAAATCTTGGAGTGATATTTGATGCTAGCTTAACGTTTGATCCACATGTACAAAATGTTGTCAGAACATCTCTTTTCCATTTGAGAAACATTGCTCAGTTGCGTCCTATGCTATCATACAATGTAGCTGAAAAAGCTGATCCACACATTTGTGTTTTCCTGACTTGACTACTGCAATGCCCTACTTGCAGGTGTACCTAAATACACTATTAATTGACTACAATATGTACAAAATTCTCAAGCCAGAATCCTCACTAGATTGGATACAAGTGACCATATTACCCCTATCCTGGAGTCCTTGCACTGGCTACCTGTCAGATTTCACTTAGACTTTAAGATCATCTTGCTCATCTATAAGGCTCTTCATGGCTTGGCACCCCATTATCTGTCTGAACCATTATCAACTTACTCCCCCCCTTGTAACCTCCACTCCTCAAATTCTGGTCTTCTGTGTGTCCCCCTTACTCACCTACACTTTATAGGAGACAGAGCCTTCTCCTGCTATTTAAATCAAATCTAACATTTTTTTCTTTAGACAACTTTCACTTAATGGTCCCCTTTTTCCTTTTTTTCCCTGTGTATTTCATGTGTTTACTTTGTAAAGCGCTTTGAGAGGCTACCTTTAAAGGCGCTATATAAAATAAAGTTTATTATTATTATATCCTAAGTTTCAATAGCAATAACAAACAAAAGCAGGGAAGGGGCAACCCTGCTTAGTACCGATCCTAATATGTATAACTTCCAAGCTGTATCCATGTGCGACACCCCGGCAAATGGAGGAGAGTATGAGGCCTCCAGAAGAATGAGGAATGTTGTCTGTACTGTCTTAATAAGAGTTAGCCGACAGCTAGCTGACAAAACTGACAGAAGCAGCATTGTGTTTCATTCCAAAATTGAATTTACTTCTTTGAATAGTTCTGTAAAACGTCAATACAATCACATAAACTAAAATTACAATATGCTTGTAAACATGTCTCACATATGCATACAATAAACACATTTCTTACAAACAGCTACCTACAAATCACATTGAATACATTTAAATGTGATCTAGCTAGAAGTGAGTACACCCCTCACATTTTTGTAAATATTTTATTATATCTTTTCATGTGACAACACTGAAGAAATGACACTTTGCTACAATGTAAAGTAGTGAGTGTACAGCTTGTATAACAGTGTAAATTTGCTGTCCCCTCAAAATAACTCAACACACAGCCATTAATGTCTAATCCGCTGGCAACAAAAGTGAGTACACCCCTAAGTGAAAATGTCCAATTTGGTCCAGTTTGCCATTTTCCCTCCCCGGTGTCATGTGACTTGTTAGTGTTACAAGGTCTCAGGTTTGAATGGGGAGCAGGTGTGTTAAATTTGGTGTTATCTCACTCTCTCATACTGGTCACTGGAAGTTCAACATGGCACCTCATGGCAAAAAACATTCTAAGGATCTGAAAAAAAAATTGTTGCTCTACATAAAGATGTTCTAGACCAGCGGTTCTCAACCTGGGGGTCGCGACCCCTTTGGGGGTCGAACGACCATTTCCCAGGGGTCGCCTAAGATCATCGGAAAACACATATTTCCGATGGTCTTAGGAACCGAGACACCGCTCCTCTGACTCAGCCGATGTGTGGGCGGGATGACACGCTGCCCTGTCACCTGGCCACACCTCCGGGATCCCTCAACAACTCCGCCTCCTCGCCGCTGATTGGCCACCGGAACTGTAGCTCAGGAGAGGCACACAGGCGGCCAATCACCGGCGAGGAGGTGGAGCTTGGAGAGGAGGAGCCGAGCGGCAGTGCGCGTAGATCTAAGAAGATCGAGGGAACTGCTGGAGTAAGTGAAGAGGAGAGCGGCCAGAGAAGGAAGACAGCTGACAGGTAAGTGAGAGAGCGAGCCCAGGCTGGAGCAGGGGTCAGCAAGCTAAGTATAATTTGGTGTCAGTGGGAGGAATAGTGCCCCATCATTTGTGTGACTAATACCAACAATGGGGCACTATTTCTCCCACTGACACCAATGATGGGGCACTATTTCCTCCCCCCCCCCCCCGCACTGACACCAATGATGGGGCACTATTCCTCCCCCCACTGACACCAACGATGGGGCACTATTCCTCCCCCCCACTGACACCAACGATGGGGCACTATTCCTCCCCCCCCACTGACACCAAGAATGGGGCACTATTCCTCCCCCCACCGACACCAACGATGGGGCACTATTCCCCCCCCCTGACCCCAAAGATGGGGCACTATTTCCCCCTCCACCACACTGACATCAATGATGGGGCACTATTCCTCCCACTGACACCAATGATGGGGCACTATTCCTCCCACTGACACCAATGATGGGGCACTATTCCCCCCACTGACACCAATGATGGGGGCACTATTCCCCCCCACTGACACCAATGATGGGGCACTATTCCCCCCACTGACACCAATGATGGGGCACTATTCCTCCCCCCACCGACACCAACGATGGGGCACTATTCCCCCCCCTGACCCCAAAGATGGGGCACTATTTCCCCCTCCACCACACTGACATCAATGATGGGGCACTATTCCTCTCACTGACACCAATGATGGGGCACTATTCCCCCCACTGACACCAATGATGGGGCACTATTCCCCCCCACTGACACCAATGATGGGGCACTATTCCCCCCTGACTGACACCAATGATGGGGCACTATTCCCCCCACTGACACCAATGATGGGGCACTATTCCCCCCACTGACACCAATGATGGGGCACTATTCCCCCCACTGACACCAATGATGGGGCACTATTCCCCCCACTGACACCAATGATGGGGCACTATTCCCCCCACTGACACCAATGATGGGGCACTATTCCCCCCACTGACACCCCTCTATTCCCCCCCACTGACACCAATGATGGGGCACTATTCCCCCCACTGACACCAATGATGGGGCACTATTCCTCCCACTGACACCAATGATGGGGCACTATTCCTCCCACTGACACCAATGATGGGGCACTATTCCCCCCACTGACACCAATGATGGGGCACTATTCCTGACCCACTGACACCAATGATGGGGCACTATTCCTCCCACTGACACCAATTGGGGCACTATTCCCCCACTGACACCAATGATGGGGCACTATTCCTCCCACTGACACCAATGATGGGGCACTATTCCTCCCACTGACACCAATGATGGGGCACTATTCCTCCCACTGACACCAATGATGGGGCACTATTCCCCCCACTGACACCAATGATGGGGCACTATTCCCCCACTGACACCAATGATGGGGCACTATTCCCCCACTGACACCAATGATGGGGGCACTATTCCCCCCACTGACACCAATGATGGGGCACTCTATTCCCCCACTGACACCAACGATGGGGCACTATTCCCCCCACTGACACCAACGATGGGGCACTATTCCCCCCACTGACACCAACGATGGGGCACTATTCCTCCCAATGACACCAACGATGGGGCACTATTCCCCCCACTGACACCAACGATGGGGCACTATTCCCCCCACTGACACCAACGATGGGGCACTATTCCCCCCACTGACACCAACGATGGGGCACTATTCCCCCCACTGACACCAACGATGGGGCACTATTCCCCCCACTGACACCAACGATGGGGCACTATTCCCCCCACTGACACCAACGATGGGGCACTATTCCCCCCACTGACACCAACGATGGGGCACTATTCCCCCCACTGACACCAACGATGGGGCACTATTCCCCCCACTGACACCAACGATGGGGCACTATTCCCCCCCACTGACACCAACGATGGGGCACTATTCCCCCCCCCACTGACACCAACGATGGGGCACTATTCCCCCCACTGACACCAACGATGGGGCACTATTCCCCCCACTGACACCAACGATGGGGCACTATTCCCCCCACTGACACCAACGATGGGGCACTATTCCTCCCACTGACACCAACGATGGGGCACTATTCATCCCACTGACATCAGTGATGGGGCACTACTTCTTCCACTGACACCAATGATGTGGCACTAGTCCTCCCACTGACACCAATGATGTGGCACTAGTCCTCCCACTGCAAAATTACAGTTATGAAGTAGCAACGAAAATAATTTTATGGTTGGGGGTCAACACAACATGAGGAACTGTATTAAGGGGTCGCGGCATTAGAAAGGTTGAGAACAACTGTTCTAGACTATAGGAAGATTGCCAAGACCCTGAAACTGAGCTGCAGCATGGTGACCAAGACCATACAGTGGTTTAACAGGACAGGTTCCATTCAGAACAGGCCTCTCCATGGTCAACCGAAGAGGTTGAGTGCACGTGCTCAGCATCATATGCAGAGGTTGTCTTTGGGAAACAGACATATGAATGCTCCCAGCATTGCTGCAGAGGTTGAAGGGGTAGGGGGTCAGCCTGTCAGTGCTCAGACCATATGCCGCACACTGCATCAACTTGGTCTGCATGGCTGTCATCCCAGAAGAAAGCCTCTTGTAAAGATGATGCACAAGAAATCCCGCAAACAGTTTGCTGAAGACAAGCAGACTAAGGACATGGATTACTGGAACCATGTCCTGTGGTCTGATGAGACCAAGTTAAATGTATTTGGTTCAGATGGTGTCAAGCGTGTGTGGGGGGCAACCAGGTGAGGAGTACAAAGACAAGTGTGTCTTGCCTACAGTCAAGCATGGTGGTGGGAGTGTCATGGTCTGGGGCTGCTTGAGTGCTGCAGGCACTGGGGAGCTACAGTTCATTGAAGGAACCATGAATGCTAACATGTACTGTGACATACTGAAGCAGAGCATGATCCCCTCCCTTATAAGTTTAGGCTGCAGGGCAATATTCCAACATGATAACGACCCCAAACACACACCTCCAAGACAACCACCAGAGGATTCCAGTGGCAACCTGTAAAGCTCTGGTGAACTCCATGCCCAAGAGGGTTAAGGCAGTGCTGGAAAATAATGGTGGCCACACAAAATATTGACACTTTGGGCCCAATTTGGACATTTTCACTTAAGGGTATACTCACTTTTATTGCCAGTGCTTTAGCCATTAATGGCTGTGGGTTGAGTTATTTTGAGGGGACAGCAAATTTACACTGTTATATAAGCTGTACACTCACTACTTTACATTGTAGCAAAATATCATTTCTTCAGTGTTGTCACTTGAAAAGATATAATAAAATATTTTAAAAAATGTGAGGGGTGTACTCACTTCTGTGAGATACTGTATGTGACTTTGACAAACACAATCAAAGAACTTACTGGCATACGTGTATCAAAGGGAGAATGGAGGACACCTTCACTGGTGCTTTTTTAGAAGCTAAAAAGGCTGCAGTGGTTTATGGGAAATCTTTGTTCTGAACAAACATGATACACTTCCTGTTCTTGTTGAATGAAATAATAAAAACAGGGACAGTTGCAGTGAACACCCAATAGTGAGTGAGCCTAAGGGCAATAAGAATCGGACTGAGTATATAGAATTTTGCACGAGTCCACCACAAACTCTTTTCGGCTGTGATCGTTAAAACGGAGGTCCAGTCAAAATGAAAATTTTTTTTATAATATTTTTTGTGACAGATAGAGCTTTCTTTTGGTGGTATTTAATCCCCTCTGGGTTTTTATTTTTTCTTAAACAAACCAAAAGCCACTGAAAATTTTGAAAAAAAAAAAAAAAAACGTTTTTTCTTAGTTTTTGTTATAAAATTTTGTAAAGAAGTGATTTTTCTCCTTCACTGATATGCGCTAATGAGGCTGCAGTGGTGGGCACTGATAGGCTGCACTGATGGACACTGATAGGTGGCACTGATGCGGAGGCACTGGTAGGTGGCACTGATGGGCATTGACAGGCATCACTGATGGGGACTGAAAGGAAGCACTAATACATGGCACTGATAGGCGGCACTGACTATCACTGATAGGCGGCACTGACTGGCACTGATAGGCGGCAGACTGGCACTGATAGTCGGCACTGACAGGCACTGATAGGCGGCACTGACTGGCACTGATAAATGGCACTGACTGGCACTGATGGGTGGCACTGAAAGGCAGCTCAGATGGGCACTGATATGTGGCATTGATGTGCACTGGTAGGCACTGATATGTGGCATTGATGTGGCACTGATGGGAACTGGAACAAGGCACTGATGAGCACTGACAGCTGGCACTGATGGGCACTGGTATGTGGCATTGATGTGGCACTGATGGGCACTGGCACGAGGCACTGATGAGCACTGACACAAGGCACTGATGGACACTGACAGGTGGCACTGCTGGGGCTACACTGATCATCAGGGCACACTGATCATCAGTGCCCTGATGATCAGTGTACATGTCCCCTCCACGGAAAGCTGATTACCGGCTCTCCTCACGAGCTGTCAGCGTGACAACTCGAGAGGAGAAAAATGCCAATAACCGCATTTCCCTGTTTACATGTGATTGGACACAGCTGATTACATGACTGAGCCGACTTCTTCGGCTCTTTCCATGACCGGTGATCCGCTGTGTCCGAGGGACACAGCGCCCCGCCGATCACAGCGCTGCACGCTCCCTGAGCCACGCATGCGCCGTGAGAATGGGAGGACGTCATATGACGTCCTCCCAGAACGAGAGAACCCTTGCACCCGTCTTTGGACTATATGGCGGGCGGGAGGTGGTTAAACATTTTAAACTTTACACTCGCATTTACTGCATCCTTCTAGAATTCACCTTAATATATTCTATGAATGTAATTTCTCTACACCTAAAACAGATGCTGCCCTAATATGAATGATTCACTTTAAAAAATGGCAGAAGAAGCTTGGTAGTCTGAGTCAGCAGGAAACAGATATACACCAGAGAACAGAATGATTGTGTTAGATCTATCCAGAACATTGAACATCACCCAGAGAGTCTGGGGAAAAATGGCTTTATTCAAATGATTAAGCTTGTTGCTGCTGTGTTCTGCAGATTCACACATTCTCCTATTATTTCCTGACCTTCTGCCAAAGACTCCCACTTAAAGCAATAATTAGAATTAGCGATTCCATTGCATGCTTCTGTCCTCTCTTTATATACACAAGTGAAATGTAGCTATTGTTAATCTCAGGTATTTTTCTCTGCATTCTAAGTGGTGAAATATTTATATTTTTAATATAAAAGATACATTAAGATATTATAGTACACAAAATGTTTTTTAAATACAAAGAAAATCATTAATAATACATGCAGTAAAGCTGCACATAAATACACATACATAGACATGAATAACATAGTGAACCACGTACAAAGCAGATATAGGTTTGGATTACTTGGTCACTTGAGCATATACACCATATATTTGTTAGTTGTAAATAATGTATTCCGTTACACGAACAAAGGTCAACGCATTTGACCAATGTGAAAGGTATTTATGATAGTCAGTGGGTCCTTTTTTTACAGATGGTTTAGTAATATCTACATCAATCTAAGGTAAATAACAACAATAATAAAAAAAAAACTAACGTTAACCCAACACAAAACAAATGGCGACCCACATGTGCCACACATTAAAATCTTTATAAGAAAAACTATATAAATGAATCCAAAATAATCTCACATATTATATAATAGTAATCTGCCAAAGGAAAACAAAAACAAACAATACATTCTCTATGCTCATAGGCTCATGAACAAGTCCAAGCCAAAAAGTACTGTCCTACAGAAAGGAAAAGAGGCAGTAAAAACATGTCTCCAAAATAGAACATAAAGCACCAAAGGCATCACCCATGAACTTATTTACCAGTACTAAGGTTCACCTGCTATCTTGCAGATGATAACTAACCCTTTACCTATGCTCCAAATGCGGCAGTTGGAGTGCAGTTCATGTATTCGGTGAAACAACATTAGTTTCATTAGAGATACAGTTGTGGCCAAAATTATTCAACCCCCACTGAAATTGAGTGTTTTGGCAGTTTGACATTGCTTTTGATCATTCAGTCATCTTGCTTACATTTACATTAAAGAGGGCACTTGTAGGTCAGACAAATATAACATAACAGTTATAATGAAATAACCACAAATGTCTTTTCTGTGCTCACAGCATTATCAGTTTTATTCAACCCCCAAGTGACATTCAATCTTAGTACTTAGTACAGCATCCTTTTACAGTTATAACAGCTTTTAAACGTGAAGCATAGCTTGACACAAGTGTCTTGCAGCGATCTACGGGTATCTTCGCCCATTCTTCAAAAGGCCTCCAGTTCAGTCACATTCTTAGGCTTGCGCACTGCAACTGCTTTCTTTAAGTCCCACCAGAGGTTCTCAATCGGATTTAAGTCTGGTGACTGCGATGGCCACTCCAAAATGTTCCAGCCTTTCCTCTGCAAAACATGCTCTAGTGGACTTGGAGGTGATGCTTGGGATCATTGTCCTGTTGAAAGGTCCAACGTCTCCCAAGCCTCAGGTGTGTGACGGACTGCATCACGTTTCCATCCAATATCTCCTGGTACTGAAGAGAATTCATGGTACCTTGCACACGCTGAAGCTTCCCTGTACCTGCAGAAGCAAAAAAGCCCCAAATTGACCCTCCACCATGCTTCACAGTAGGCAAGGTGTTCTTTTCATCATAGGCCTTGTTCTTCCTCCTCCAAACATAGCGTTGATCCATGGGCCCAAACAGTTCTAATTTTGTTTCATCAGTCCACAGAACACTATCCCACAACTTTTGTGGTTTGTCCACATGGCTTTTGGCATACTGCAGTCGACTCTTCTTATTCTTTGGAGACAGCAAGGGGGTACGCCTGGGAGTTCTGGCACGGAGGCCTTCATTACGCAGTGTGCGTCTTATTGTCTGGGCTGAAACTTCTGTACCCACATCTGACAAATCTTTTCTCAGTTCCTCAGCAAACGGGGACTTCTCTCCACTCTACGCTTCAGGTAGCGCACAGCAGTCGAAGTCAGCATCTTCTTTCTGCCACGACCAGGTAGCGTTTTCAACCAGTGCCCTTTGCCTTGAATTTGCGAATGATGCTTCCTAAGGTGTCTCTTGGTATGTTTAACATCTTTGCAATCTTCTTATAGCCATTGCCCTTCCTGTGAAGAGAAATCACCTCTTCTCTTGTCTTCCTGGACCATTCTCTTGCCTTCACCATGTTTGTAACCACACCAGTAAATGTCTAGAAGGAGCAGTATCACAGTCATTTTAAAGCTGCCTAATTGGTGCTTATTATGCTTGATTGCTGCTCGGTGACATCCACAGGTGTTTTCAATACCTGATGGAAAGCACCTGTATGAACCTCTGTTCTTCAGAGTGGTAGTCTTTAAGGGGTTGAATATTGTGGCAATGAAGAAACCACATAAGAACCATTTACTACTGTATTACATAAACAATTGATGTCATTTTAGTTGCATTTGGGTAGTTACAACGTCCTTGTAGGATTTGATTCTGAATACAATTCCAAATGTACACTATAGTCCCTAAATACAGCATTGGGGGTTGAATAATTTTGGCCACAACTGTATATTCTTCAACAAATAGATGGCAGTGTTTATAAGTTTGTAGCTGAATCTATGGTATGTAAACTGTACGTCTGTTCTCTATAACAGTGGCCTCCAAACTGTGGCCCGAGGGCCAGATGCAGCCCCTTTGATAGCTTTTGTCTGGCCCTTGGGGCACTTTTCCTCCCAATGATATGAGGTACTATTTATTCCACTGACACCAACGTGGGGCACAATTCTTGCCACTGACAGTAATGATGGAGCACTATTCCTCCCACTGACATAAACAGTAGGGCACTATTCCTCCCGCTAATACCAATAATAAGGCACTAGTCCTCAAACTAGTACCAATAATGGGTCACTATTCCTCCGATAATACCAATGATGGGGCACTATTCCTTCCACTGATACCAATAATGGGGCACTATTTGTCCCACTAGTACTAATGAGGGGGGCACTATTCCTCCCACTATTGCCAATAATGGGGAACTATTCCTCCCACTGACACCAGTAATGGGGCACTATTCCTCCAACTAATGCCAATAATGGGGCACTATTTCTTCCACTAGCACCAATTATGGGGCACTACTCCTCCTCCTAACCAACAACCCTGGGGTCATGTTTATTCTCAATTATTCTGTGCCTGGGACATTTTCTAGGCCACTGTCAACAATCCGGCTCCTTTAAAATTTAAAGGACAGTAAACTGGACCTTTGTTTGAAAAGTTTGGAGACCCCTGCTCTATAATAAGGTCCTGTTTCATGTTTGTAGAGAAGCAGCAAATAAGCACATGTGATAACAACTGATGCTGTGCTAAAATATAAGAAATAAAAAAATATTTATAAATAAATTATTAAATGCAGTGACCAATGACCAATATGCATAAGTGAAATCGTAAATATTGTGAATAAATATAAATAAATAATTTTATATTTATATATATATATATATATATATATATATATATTATTGTGAAATAAATTAATGAATAAAGTGCAAAGTCCCAATAGGTGTATACGTCTTCAATAAACTGTGAATCAACCAGTGACCACTACAAAAATCCTCCACCAGCTAGCATGCACGCTCACCTCCAGCCATGACCCACTAAGGGTCACACACGCTCCAACTAAATATGCTTAGCGATGGTATCCTTGCATGTCCCCTCAATATTGTGTCAGGGAAATCCTCTAAATGGATGAAACACCAACTCTGGCAAGGTCATGCATGCTCCAAATAAATGAACCCAGCAGTAATACCTTGGATGTCCCCTCCATGATGCACCAAAAAGACTCCTCTCACATGGGCCACACATGGATCATGTCTCCGGGTCCTCCTGCTCTCTCTCCTCTTACTGACGTGGAGCTTCCAGGTTTATTGCATGGGTGATGACTTTGCTGCCTGATTCTCCTTTTAGAGTCATTGCACATTGGCTTAAAAAAAAGCCAATGCTTTTGGTAGAGGCGCACTTAGATTTTTTTTTCTCCAGAATACAGCTCTCAAAAACACAAAACAGAGTCTAAAATATGCATCTAAACAACTTAATGTGCATGGACACATAGGATATAATTGGTTGCTTCTACAGGCATAACCCTAACCACTTGGACCACACATTCATATGGTAAGTTGGCATGCAGTCTAGTTATGGTTAATCCTGGCATGTTGTTTTGCTAACACACTAAACTCCTTTAGCAGCAACATTTTTTTTAAGCCAGTGTGCATGCAACGTTAGAGACTTTTTTCCAACTTTTGCTATTTTTTCTTATATGCAGGACTGTACTCTCTGACTAGGATATGTTTATGAGCAGAGAGAAGTTTACTTTTTTTTTTTTTTACCTCCAGTGGACTGTTTCTATTTTATCTTTGGTATAATATGTGAGCATAGTAGCGATTCCTTCATATAGTTTTTTTATAGACTTAAGTGCGTGGTGCATGTGGGTCTTCATGTGTTTTGTGTTGAATAAACGTTTGATTTGTTTTTTACTTTTGTTGTGCTGAAGAAGTGGCTATATTTTGCTAAATGAGTTGACCTTTGTTTGCAAAATGGAATATTTGTTATTTTAGCCA